GAGAGAGAGAGAGAGAGAGAGAGAGAGAGAGAGAGAGAGAGAGAGAGAGAGAGAGAGAGAGAGAGAGAGAGAGAGAGTTTCCAAAAAGCGTGTCAAACTGACACTTTTGGACGTCAATAGTGTCAGCTTTAACCAACTTCGTTCTTGGAAAGGAAAATGTCCGATTCACAACCACTTTTTCTGTAATTTATTTTAATCCTCTCGTGTTTATGGTGCAGGTGACAGAGTTTTGTTCATCTTGTTCTGGTACTGCTGTTGGAGGTGTTGCTGTGAGAGAAACCCCTCTCGAACCCATTGGCTTGCAATGGTTTCTTGGAAAGCGGTTGTACTCTGTCTCTGCAGGTCCAGCAGCACTACAATATTCAGCTGACAGTATTGTTGAAGCGGTAGCGGCAGTGCGACCACTTGATGTTGACGCTCACTTGATTGCCAGAACACAGGGTATTGTCTCTTTCTTCTTGCCCTTCGTGTTGTATTCCCTCCTCCTCCTCCTCCTCCTCCTCCTACTGCTGCTGCTCATTGTCTTCTTCTTCTTCTTCTTCTTCTTCTTCTTCTTCCTTCGACTTCTCAGTATTGTTGAAGCAGAAGTGCCAACGCTTCTTTTCCTTTTTCTGTCTGTTAATTCTGAAAGCGTGATGGTCTTGAGGAGGTGTCCTCCTGTTCATTCAGCTGGCCGTCTGAATTTTGCAATTGGTTTCCCGATCCAAATGTTCCTTTCTTCTTGGGAAGAAAAAAGAAAGAACAAAGAACTTGTGGAGCACCAGACGGCATGCGATTGATTTAGAATCCTTTCCAGGGTGTAAGATTTGCGCTCTTTCCTTCTCCACCACCCGATTCCCTACCGCACTCGATCTTTCTCTCACTCTTGACTCTGCTTTTTCTCAATTGAACCTGTAGGAATTCTTCAGGATCAATTGGTAAATGTGATTGATTTTCTGCAACAGGACAAGGGGACGGCGCTTCTGCGAGGAGATGTCTTTGATCAACCAATTCGAACTGACATTGTGCACAGGGTTGTACGATGGCAACTCGCCAGAAGACAACAGGTCAGTGTTTCGCCTCCTATTTCCCTCCCTCCCTCCCTCCCTCCCTCCCTCCCTCCCTCTTTTCCCTCGCTCTCGCCGCCTCTTCTTCCTATTTCCCTCCCTTTTTTTTTATCCCCCCCTTCCGTCCTCTGTCCTCCCTCCCTGATTCCCTCCCTCCCTCCGTTCGCTTCCCTTCTCTCCCCTCTCCCCTCTCCCCCTCCCCTTTTCTTACCTCTCCTACCCTCCTTCCCTCCCTCCCTCCACCGTCCTTTCGATCCCTCCCGCCCTTTCTCCCTCCTATCCATTCCCTTCCGTCCTCTCCTCCCTCCTACCCTTCTCCCTCTCCTTCTCTCCTGCCCTCCTCCTCTCCCTCCCTCTCCCTCCCTCTTGCGTCCTTCTCTCTCTTCCTTACATCTCTCCTGTCCCTGCTTCCCTCCATTTCCTCCATCCCTCTTTTCCATCCGTCCATCTGTCCCTGCCTCTCCCTCCCCTTCTTTCCTCCTCCCTGTTTTTTCATCCCTCCTCCTCTTCCCCCCTTCGCCTTCTACCCTACCCTCTTCCCCCTCCCGCTGTCAACCTACCTTCGCCCTCTCCCCCTTCCCTCCCTCCCTCAAACCTACCCCCTTCCTTCCCCTCCCTTCCCCTCACTCCCCTTTCCTTCCTTCTCTCCCTCCTTCCCTCCCTCCCTTCTTATCTCCGTTCCTTGCTTCCTGCTGCCCTCTATCTTCTCTCACCTCTTGTCTCTGTTCTCTCTCCTCTTTTCTCTATCTCCTTTCTTACTCTCACACCCATATATGCAACAGGATAGTTACAGAGGGAAGAGTGTTGATGCTGGCGGACAAATCGATAGGGACAAATCTCTCTCACGACTTCTGACATGGACAACTCATACATAACTGACTTGCAGCCGGGAACCTGTGGCTATGGCTCCCCAATGAGAAACCTCTGGAGGACAGAGATAGGAAGCCTGCAGCTGCCTTTACTTGACAACATCAGTCCACTGGTTCTGCCTGCAACTTGCTGCTTTCCTATCTTTCGAAGTTCTGTGTTGTTTTGCTGGTGTGATTTGCCTTGTCAATTGAGCTCTCTGTCTGGTTGTCTCATGCATGATGATTAAGGGAGTCTGTGTCGGTCATGAATTGAATTTCTCACAGGCGGGTTCCTTACACAAATCCAATGCTACTGGGAAACGTACCCACCAGCTCTTGGGGATGAAAGCAATCACTTGATCTCTGAGGCCATCCTGCGGCAGTGTTCGACCTGCAGCCTCTGTAGTAAGTGTCTATAATAAAAGCTCGTGTCTACCACACCGCGTGTCTGCAGCTGCGAGGGAACTTGAAGCAAACCTAACCTGACCCTAGACCAAAAACCGAACCGACACTCAACCCACAGTGACCTGGAATGAGACTGAAACCGAACCAGAAGCAGACCCAAACCTAACCAACACCAGACCTGAGCAGAACGAAAACTGATCTGAAACTGAATGAGAACTGAACCAAAACGGTACCAAAACGGTACTGAAACTGTACCGAAACTGAACCAAAGCCAAACCCAAACCGAGCCAAAACTTAACCAAAGCTGAACCAGAACCAAAATCGAACCAAAATTGAACCAAAAGCAAACCCAAACTGAACCAAAGCCAAAGCCAAACCGAGCCGAAGCTGAACCAGAACCAAAACTGAACCAAAACCGAACCAAAACCGAACCAAAACCGAACCAAACCATAACCAGTTTCGAACCAAAAGTGAACCAAAAGCAAACCCAAGCCATAACCAGTTTCGAACCAAAAGTGAACCAAAAGCAAACCCAAACTGAACCAGAACTGCAAAAGAAGTGAATCAGAGCTGATCCAAACTGTATTAGAACCAAAGGAAAACCAAACCAAAGCTGAGTCCAAACTGAATGAGAACCAAACCCAAATCGGAAGTAACCTGAACCCGGACGGAGACAAAACGGAACCGAAACTGAATCAGAACGAAATCAAATTCGAACCAGAGCCAAACCTAAACTGAGTCCAAACTGAATCCAAACCAAACCCAAGTTGCAGCCGAAGTGGACCCAAACCTTACCCGAAGCCAAAGTGGACTCGAACCTGACCCGAAGCGAAAGCAGAAGTGGACCCAAACCTAACCCGAAGCCAAACTGGACCCAAACCTAACCCGAAGCCAAACTGGACCCAAACCTAACCCGAAGCCAAACTGGACCCAAACNCCTAACCCGAAGCCAAACTGGACCCAAACCTAACCCGAAGCCAAACTGGACCCAAACCTAACCCGAAGCCAAACTGGACCCAAACCTAACCCGAATTGAGCCACAACTGAAAGAAAAATGCACCCAGACCGAGGCAAAACAGAACCAGAGCAGGGCATACTATGGGTTTCTCAGTTGCAGTGGGTGCAGGTTCAGGCTCTGTTCTTTTCTTTTTTCTTTTCGAGAAGGGGCAATGATCTTGAGGTATCGTCATCGAACTGACCGACCCTCCAGGTAATTCCGAGTTATATTTTACTTACCTGATTCCATTCAGGATTCGAACTCAGGTCTGTTTATCAACAGTAAACGACTGAACCATTCAGCCACATGGGGGCTTGATGGGTTCAGGCATTGTTTGTGCCCCCATAATGGGCCCATTGTCATTCTTTCTTTTTTTGTGTTACTCCTGTCAGTTTCTTTCTTTTTTTTTTTTCCTTTTTTTTTTTTTTTAAATTCAGGTCCTTGTGGTCCTGGCTCCATATCGATTCTGGGTAACGTCAGTCTGGTTCCTTTCCACCTGTACACCTGTACAGTTTCTGTGCATTTAACGATAACAAAATTGTGTTTGGCTGCACCTGTGTATTCTGAGAGTGCATGGAACTCACTCAACCAAAGGCATTTGCCATTTGACAATTGAGAATTTGTGTTTGGCTGCACCTGTGTATTGTGAGAGTGCAGGGAACTCACTCAACCAAAGGCATCAGTGAAGTAAGTGGTACTGGGAAAAAGCCGTATGCTCAGAAGGGCTCAGGGCGAGCACGTCATGGAACGCTCAGGGGTCCACAGGTATGAGCGTTGTCCGTCCAGGCCGAGACTTTGAGTGAAAAAGCACGTGAAGGAAGCTCTACAGCTTGAATTTCTGTGTTGTTCGCCAGGTTCTCAAATCACAAATAAAAGGACAGTTGTTTCTTGTTCTTCTTCTTCTTCTTTTATTTATTTTATTTTATATTTTAATTGGACCATTTCTCGATTTATGCATGTCATCCTTGTGCAGGGGCCATGCTAATCTTCCCTGCATCGTTCCAATTTTAACGGATTTCCCGAAGGACAAAGGACAGTTGTTTCTTGTCTCACCAGATTGTCAAATCACGAATAAAATGACAGTTGTTTCTTGGCTCGGCTAGACATGGCAGCTATGGATCTCTCTCTACCGAAGAGAAAAAAAAGAAGCCCTGGCTTGGGAGCAGTTGAACGACTGCAAGAGTCTCTGAGAGGGAACTGGTTTCAGAGTTGTCGTAGCAGCAACTGGATTCTTTCTCCATCTCCAGCCATTGCTACTCGGTGAGATGGAACTCTCTTCTTCCCCTGAACACAATGGCCCAGAATCATGACTGTATTTGGACCAGGACATGGTGTGTATACGCTCATGATGATGATGAGGTTTTAATGCTCCGGGGAAGAAGGCAGCAGCGAGAACACCTCAGATAGCAACTCGATCCTTTTTCCCTCGTCAGCCATCGGTGATCGGTGTTTCAGTCATCCTCTCTTCTTGTTTCAGTGGAAGCAACACTACCTTCTTCGCTGGAACACAATGCGTGAGCGTCATGACTGCATTTGGACCAGGATATGGCATGTATACGGTCATGATGATGATGCGGTTTTATGCTCCACCCAGACGTAATTGTCATCGCCCCTGGTTGGTTGTTTAACCGTTCAGTTTTTCAAACTTTTTTGTTTCCCTCACCACAAGCCCCAGCAACGCAATCAAGATCCTTGCACAGAGCGCTATCAAATCATAGTTTCATCCTTAATAATGAGCAGTAAAGGAGAACGAATGGTGTTTTTGATGCTGAACAGGCAGATAGAGGCTTGTGGTGGTATTGTCCAGGTGGGGAGCGGGTGAAACATGTGACACTGATGCATTTCCGAACACAATCTCCACATGTGGTGTGTCTTTATATCATTTGTTAGAGTTCTCACGCCCTGCTCTCCCTATGGGTATCATCAGTTGATGAGAGGTAGCGCTACTCTGGTAGTGTGGTTGTGCCCTATGCACAAGGCAACAGGGGTTTGTGTGTGTGCATGTCTGTGTTAGAAAGAGAGAGAGA